ATAGTTCATTTCAATAAAATATAAGAATATATACTTTTAAAAAACTGTATTTTAGTAATGACAATAACTATAAGTACTATTAATAACATTCTATAAATATTATATTAGAGATAATCCATCTATAAATATAATTTAATCATTCTGATAAGTAATTAATTAATTTTGTTATATATATATATATATATATATATATATATATATATATGTATATATTTAATTTTGTTTCCAATACCTTCATTCTTAGAAAGAAATAAAGCGAGACTATCACAATCAAGTTAATGTTCTCAACTTTAATAAAATTTTACCAAAAATTTTAATATTCTCTTAAACATAAATTTGTTTCAAGATTAATTCATTTTTTCATTTCATCCTTTGAAAAAAAAATACTGGATTCAAATAAAATTAAACATAATTAGTGATATCATATTCTAAAATTTTTAAAAAGTATTATTTTATAAAAAGCCAAAAGAGTTCATCTTCAATTAAATGTGTAATTTATCACGCTTAATTTTTACAAAAAAGAAGAAGTCTTTTTATGAATCATACTTCTTCTTTTTTCGATTACGTACCATATTCATTCAATTTTTATTTTTTATTTTAAATTTGAAGCAAATGTAAAATATTTTTGCTTCTAATTTTTTAAACAAGTAATAAAACCTTTTAACTAGTTTACCAGAACATCTATATGCATATCTATGACTTGTATTATTTTACTGCCAAGTTAAATATAAACAATATAACAAAATTTGTCAAATAGTAACGTAAATTAAATATAACTTAAAAAAATTAAGAACATGAGATGAATGTACATTTACGACCTTAATCTTGAAGGTAGACTTTCATGGTGAGTTTTTTTTTTTTTTTTTTTTTTTTAAGTGGAGAGTAGAGTAGAGAGTGTTGTATAAGTCCCAAGCCAAAAGTCAGAAATAATTTTAGTATTTATTTATTTATTCTATGAATTTAAAATTTAAGGGTTGATATAATGCAATTTTACTATATACATAAAATATTTTGTTTATGAGAGTGAGTATATTTGAGATTTATTTTGCATAAAACAAATGGGCCATAACCCAAACAAAAAGAAGAAAAGTAAAGAAAAGAGATGGAACAAGGTATATGGCTGTCCCAACAAAACTGGCATCAGAGAGGGCCTGTAGTTCAATACGAACAGAACTCGTAGCGTCGCATTTTTTTTTTTACTAATTTATTTTCTAAAGTTTTTCAATAAATCCCTCATTTTGTCTACTTGTTTTATGTTTTAATATTCATCTTAATCTTAACTTATGTATTTAATTTTAATTATATATACACATATTTTATTCATCAATTATCATCATTTCGTAAATTTTACTTTTATATCTTTTCTTTAACATTTTATTATTATATGTTTTAATTTTTATATATTAATTAATCTATAACTATATATATATATATATATATATATATATATATAAAGATAATTTTGTTTTGTAACCATTATTTAATGATATCGGAGAGAAACATGAAATAATTATTGTAATTTATATATTTAAAAAATAAAAAAATATGATACATAATTAATAAAAAAATAGTGAATATATTTAAAAAAATAGAAAGATAAAATAAAATTTAAAATAATATTTTTAAAAAGTAATTATAAAATGATAAAGGTAGAGGCATTCTTATAAAATATATTTTATCATAATTTTTTAAATCACATCATTTTGTTATTAATATATAGTGATATAGAAGGTGTAAAAAAAATGAAAAATATATGATAAAATACATTAATAAAAAATTAAGTAATAAAATATGCAAAGATTGAAACCTTCTTGACAAAATAGGAGAAAAATAACTTGAGTAGTGATAAAATTCACATAGCTAAAATGATGAGTAAGTAATAAAATATATATGTGATTAAACCATGTATTTAAATTATCAAATGACAAACAAAATGTATTATATTTTAATTAAACAGAAATTTCTTTAAAATTTTAAAATATAAAATAATCGTAACAATAAAAAACTAAAGATATAGCAATGAGAGACAACCCATTTATTTGGTTTTTGTTTATTTTTATTCTTTATCTATTATAAAAATAAATAATAAATAAATTTCTAGGGGTAGAGACTATAACACCATATATTGCACGTGCCACATGTTTTGTAGGGTCGAGTGATAGTACTTTGATCATTCAATCTTAAAAAAAAAACTATTAATAACTCGTTTATAATAGTTGTTAAATGAAATATTAATATTATATTATTATAAGTGAGTGTTGCTTTTTTAATTGGGTTGTCAAAATATATTTTTTCTTTATAGAACAATAATAAACATGACTTGAATGCACTAACTTATTATTAAAGGAGTCAAAAATTGTTATAAAGGATAAAAATATTATTAAATCAATAATCCATCCTACAATTTCTAAAAACTAAAGTTGAGATTATATGTTGAGCTATAATTTTCATATAAATTAATTTGTTTTCTTGGTTTTAATTTCATAAAAGAAACAAGTTTTCTGGCTCATTAGATTCAAAATATTGATATTTTAGTCCATATATTTTTTATAAAATAGAATATAAATAAAATTTGTTAATTTGACATTTGTATGATGATTCAATGAATATCATATCGCAAACTATTTTTAAATTTGGCGACTCTAATAATGTTAGAGTTAAATAAAAGAAGGATCAAGTCACTCTTACCTTTTTATAACGTGTTTAAACGAATTTTTCCGTAAGCACTTTTTAAAATAAAATTATATATATAAAATTTATAAATTCTAAGTCCGCTGATAAACTAATATCCGAGATAATTAATCTTAAAAACCTAATTTACGTACGTTGGCAAGCACAGTTTTTTGTATAGTAGACATCATAACAATAACAGTGGTTTCTTATCACGGTCATGGTATCATGGTACGTGTCTTAGTTTAAACAAGTGAAACATTCAGAAATTAGTGCAGTTCTGTAACATATCTACCAGACAATCCCTTATAATTGTATTTTCTAGTGACGTTAATTAACATTAGTCTGTATATACATGGAACCTAGTTATCATTAATGTAGGTTTGTTCAAGTACGAAGGGAAACATCCCATTTGACTGAGTGGATATTGTTTAGTTTTGCACAAGAATTAATGTTTACTTAGCTTTGGAATCTTAAGACCAAGTGACTGATACGGCAACAGGACGTAGTTTCTTGGTTCATTCTGTGTCTGTGATTTGCAGACAAGCCTCTCCGCAATGATAGCCGATGACAAGATTATGATCCCTCAATCATGGTTTACCATTAAATTATTCAACCCTTTCCTGTGATGGGGATTTTGTGCCATAACAAACCCCTCTCTGGGGTGGACGCTTCCAATTTAATTTGTCTGCTACGCAACAATTTTATAAACAATTTTTGCAGCACTTTTTATAATTAACACTATTTTCCCTTTATTTCTCTCTATCATATTTCATCTAATCATCACACACTTCTCTCTTTGTTATACAAATTTTTGAACCAAGAAGTTATATAACATATATCTTATTTTGTAGTTCCATCTCCCATGTGCTTGGTCCAGTCAACACATTTGTAAAATCAGTAAGCCAGGATGGAAGGAGTGGAGAGAGAAGGAAAGATAGAAGAGGAAGTTTGGTCATAATTAATAAGGGCACCGTGCCAAAGCCAGAGTACAGAGCTAGAACTACCTGTTTCTTTCTCCATTCTGGCTACTGACTTTAGTTGATGAAATTGAAGGCAAAGCCATGAATACAATTCAGGTGTGTAATTGCAACTGTAACTGTTAGTAGTAGTAGTAGTGCTGTAACATCACAGACAATCAGAGAGATGGATTCAAAAGGGAACAGTACGAAATTCACTACATATCGACATATAGGAATATTGTGCACAAGTAAATAAAAGAAGTATATACACATCACACCCTTCAAAAAATACACCTCACAGACTTGAAAAGATTAGTTTTTGGGGGAGGGGTATATCTGGCAAATGCAAGTGATTGCGTGCTTTGTATTGGGTCGAAAGGTAATAATAACCCACATTATGTAAATTCAATTAACATGATGAGAAAATATGGATTATTGGTAGGTCTGGCATTATTGATTGAATAAAACCAAATTGAGTAGCCTTTGTATTGATTATTATATGTACATATGGGCAGACAGATACACATTGGTTCTATATGAATTACTAGCTAGATTATTTTACGCACATTTATAGAGAGAGGATTGTAATTGATACGAGGTGTATGAGCAGAATGGTTGAACAGTAGTTAATTAATCTAAGCCGCCGATTTCGTTAAAATGGGCTCATTGTCCAATCCTATATGGACAGATAGTGGCATAGTGGAATATAGGTATATATATATAGCACGCCCTTGATTTAAGACAAATTGTAAAAATAGTCTCCAATCATGTTCATTGTTTAGTCGAGTCAAGGTGGTTTATCTTGCCCATTTTGTAATTCCAAAATTGGAACATTGATGGAACACTGCATGATTTGAGTTTAAACTCGTTGTTGACAAGGGGTCACAACAATGCTAGTTAGAATTTCTCATTACATGCTTAAATTGCGAACGTTCACTCATTTTCAAAGACAAACAAAGTTAAAATACAAAAAAACCTGATTAATCTTCATGGTGGGTTTCATACGGGGTACCCCATAGCATTATTTTTTGGCCATCGACCGACAAAGGATCCAAACTCTGCCATTAATGAAGGCGACAACCTCTTTGATTCTCCATTGATCTTGCAGATACATGTCCCTCTATCTCACTCAATACCCTCACTCTTTCACTCAATATACTACTATTTTGTGTCTGCAGGAACAGTGAACCTTTGAGCCTCTTATATTACATAAACATCCTCTCTCACCCCCACTTCGCACCCTATATCCTTTCCTCTCTTTTGCTTTCTTTTCCACACAACTTACTCCATAGTCATACTAGGACACTTTGAACCATTACCACTACCTTGTACACCCGCTTTCTTTCTTTCTTCCATTTTTAGATAGCCATGAATTTCCATCCCAATACTTCTCTTCACCTAAGCCAACCAGATGATGAGATCAATCATCTCAATCTAGATCTTCTTCTTGAGCCATCTTCTTCTTCATCATCTTCTCCTTCACCTATAAGTCCCATTGAGCCGCGGATATTCTCATGCAACTATTGCCAGAGAAAGTTCTATAGCTCTCAAGCGCTAGGGGGTCACCAGAATGCTCACAAGCTTGAGCGAACACTGGCCAAGAAGAGCAGGGAAATGAGTTCAACCATGCAACCTTACGGAGGAGCGGAGCAAAGATCAAACTTCAGTGCGTCACACCATCTTGGTCGTGCTCTTGGGGTTAACGTTGTGGATAACCAAGGACAAAGTTATGTGAGGCTTGGCGGACGAAAAGAATTCAGCTATGGTCCCAAGGAAGGGGTGGCTTCCTGGTCAAGGGGTTATACTTCTGAGCATGTTCAGGAGGATATTGGCCAACTTGACTTGTCGTTGAGGCTTTGAAATTTTAACATATATATGAAGCTCTATGATCTATAACATCTTGCTTCTATGACTACGGGTGATAAGATGAATATAATATGAACCATTCTGAATTAATTTCTGATTATGAATGTAGCAAATTAAACAATGCCCCAGTTATACGCGGAGCTAGCTATAAGAGGGGCTATCTAGTTAGGGGTGTGTGGGGGAATCAATCGTGTAACAATTTGAAGTGACACTTTTTAGACGATCAGGACGTGCCAGTGCCATTTTTTTTCTTTAGAAGGTAAAGGAAGCTTTATTTCAGGTTACATAGGTTACTATATTGGTGACTGTGGCTATCTTTATGGTTTACTTTGTACGTTTTTTGTACTGTAAGAATGGCAGTATATCTATTATTGAAATCTCAGATATTTTTAACATAGAAATATAAGTTCGATAAAATAAAATGGAGCAATGCATCGAGAAATTCAAGTGCTGCACCAGACTAGTGGCGTAACTAATTATCAGAAACCAGGCTAGGATTTTCCATAATCTAAACCATGCAATGTTTTAGGAATTTCCATACCACATTGCTTGTTAATTATTTTGTTAATATTTCTCTGAGATGTAAGAGCAGCAGATGCACATAAAAACTTGAACCACCTATAATGGTATAATTATGGAATCATGTTGCAGTACTGCATATGTAGATAAATTCAGTTTCCTTGTGATTTTATGCGCCAGTCATTTAACACATTTCCTACTGTTTCTGGCCTCTTAACCTGCAGTCTGAGTACACAGTTTCTGAAAGTATTTCACATGGTATTGTTGGAGGGAAATTAAAGTTTCCTATGTGCAATAAATAAGTTCCTTAAAAGTTCTATATGCATTTAATTATTGACACTAACTAATGTCTCCTTCAGAAAGTCGTTTGCAGTTCCTGACATGCATCATTTTCCTTGGTTTCACCACCAATTAATCCACTCCTCAAGCTTACTGCAAACAAGCGCTTAATAGAAAAGGGAAAAACAAATGACTAATAAGCTTCTTAGGAGGCTTAGATAAGATCTATAAAGCTGCAAAACTAGCAAGATAAACGAATAACTGATCCTTCCGACGCTTAGAAGGGTCCTTCACCAAACACTTGATCCAAGTCTCTGGCTATCTCTATCACAGGCTTCTGAACATAAACGAATAACTGGTCTTTATTTGAGGAGTTGGAGTGGAATTGAATTTAATGATATGGTAAATAAAGTTATTGTCACGGGGTTGAAAATTGGTACAAACAATTATGAAGTGAATTAGCTGTGTGCATATTTTGAATAGGCAATCTTTGTTGAGGTGAAACTGATGGTTTGATAGATGAAGAAGCAGACCATTCGTATCTTGGTACAGATAAAGTTGTAGACTTGGTGCTTCAACAAGTGTGACAAGTTTCATCCGTGTGCACTGGATGTGCTTCCGTTACATCACGTTCAAGTGCAGGAGGTATATTATTGCATTAATTGCTTTCAATTCATTTGTGGTTCTGCTCATGCCGTACATTCTGCTTCTTCAAACCTCTCCATTCTTTTATACCAAATCTCTTCTTTTAATGTTAAAAACTAGATAGTGCATATGTTAAATCACAATTTCATTTTATGCATATACATACATATATACAGTTTCAAATTATCCGTGCCCTACATTAAATATTTGATAATCCAAAGGAATTTCACATACACACTGTTAGATATTAAAATATTAATTTTTTATTTATTTATACTATTTTCTTTTCAAGAAATAGAAACAACACTAAAAGTGGGAGATGAAATATATATGAAAGAAATCAATGGAAAAATAAATCCTTGTAAAAATTTATATATAATATAAGACTTATATTAACTATATATATGGTCCACCCATAAAATAATAAAATATGGACCTCAAATAATAAAATTCAAGCATTATATATATGAAGACATTTTGTAATATTTCATCATATTTATATAATGGTCCTCCACATGAATACTTGATTTGAAAATTTTCATATATATATATATATAACGCGCTTGGAATTTTAATTTAGCCTTTTGAAAAATTTTTATATTATGTTTTTTTATTTAAACGAATCGAATTTAAATAATTGTGTTGAAATAAAGTTCGACTTTAGTAATATTTAAATAATGTAACTTGATTTCTTCCTTTTATTAATCAATTATATCGTTAACGTATTTTAAGTTTATTAATTTCATACGTGATTATTATTATTTTTAATATTAATACAAAATAGAGAAAGAGAATAATATAGTATTTAATGTCCAAACATATGTAATGATGTACTCTTTTTTTAAATGAAATTATATATATATATATATATATATATATATATATATATATATATATATATATATACAATTTTTCTATATAATAACATATTTTTATATGATTATATATTCACACTATAGTTGTTAATAGTATATTATAATGTTGGCCTATAAAATATTGAATTTAGTTACATAAAATTAACAAAGTGTGAAGACGTTAAGCTACATTATAGAAATATATATGCAATTATATTTGACAAAAATATAGAATGAAGTTAGTGAACAAGTTTTTTTTTTCTATATGTCATTAATTAATTTAATAATATACTAAAATTACTTTAATTTTGGTTAAGGGATTCAAATTCAGATTCATTCAAACCAACTACTAATCTTTAATTGATTAAAATGATAAAAATCTCAACAATATTATATAAATATTAAACTTGTATAGACTGACTAAATATCATAATTACTCTAAAATTAATAAAGCGTGTCTAAGTAACTTTTGCTCAAGTGAAACTAAATGACTTTTGAGACTACTTAATTAAATTAGTATATACAATATTTGAATAAACCGAATGATTGACACCAAATATAACTTGTGCTTTTTCTTTTAAGAATCATGCTAAAAAAGTTTTAATAAAATCATGATCTCTCCATTGATCGAATAAGAATATGAAACTAGCAGATTTTTTTCCTCCCATACTACACTACCGGTGATCACAGGTTAAAGAGATCTTACTTGATTGAATATAATATAAGAATTATTGTAAACTCTAATTAATATATATTCAATTTTTACGTATAAAAAAATCCCAACTAGGTAATTTTATAAAAATTTAATAAAATATGCTAAAATATATTCAACGACATAATTTCGTTTCAATAGATAATTTTTTAAAACAATACTGTGTGCCTATGCAAGCAATAAGGAGGGTCTATAAATATATTTTCCAATATACTCTTTTCTAATATTTTTTTATTGATAAAAATATCATTAAATAAGATATTAAATCCACATTTTTTTATATTCAATAAATTTCAACAAATTAGAGATAGTGTGTTCAAAAGATTGTCAAATAAAATCCTAGTATTTGTCGTACTTTATATTTAGAGGTGTTAAAATGGTTAAGTGTACTTGATTTTGAGGGACTATGCTGATTATTCTTATTAGAACAATATATTATATGGGTTAAGCAATAAAATTTACAGAGCCAAAATCATTTTAATTCAACTTTAAATTTATTACCTCGACATGGTTGACTCAACTCAAGTAGGTCTGTGATGAGTCAACCAACTCATTTGAAGTTAAGAAAAAAAAAATTATATTGATTATGACTAGAAGTAACGCAGTAAATTTTTTATCCACAGTAGTGCAACAATATGAATAAATATTTAATTTGTATTAAATAAATATTATATTATTTTTTATATATGAGTATGTTAATTATTATTATTATTATTATTATTATTATTATTATTATTATTTGTATTAAATAGTTGATTCAAATTATTGTTATATATGACTATATAACATTTTGTAATAAAATTTGTAGTATTTAAACTTTTAATTAAAGTAATTGGAAGTACACACGAGAAGGAGTTCCTTATTTAAACCTAATTAATACTCATGTTTGAAGTATTAACTTTTCGAGCATATGTATTTGTAGGCATTTCTAAAAACAAAAAGAATATTTTTTTTATAAAATAAACCCATTCATAAATTAAAACTTGATTTTGGATAATTTAGCATCTAAAAAATATTTATTTTCTCCTAATGATTTTATACTGTTAATTTCTTCTTCTTCTTCTTCCCGTTTCACACACTTTTGTAATAATAATAAAAAGATGCTAGTTGACATTTTCACACGAGAGAACACACGTTTCGGGTTTTGACAGACATCCAATAACCTATTTTTGAATTTTTATATTATTATTCTCTCCATTAATCCAAAAAAAATATTTTAAGATTATTTATGAGATGTTTAGAAAAATTGGGTGTGAAAAAATATTTTCCCAATTTTTTATTATTATATAATTCAAGTGACATGTGGAGAAAAAACTAGGAGTATTATAAAATAAATAAAAAAGGAGAGTGAAATTATCAAGGTGCAATAAGAAGAGTGAAGTAAATGTGTTATTAATACAAGTAAAAAAAAAAAATCATGGTCATAATAAATAGAACACTTCTCAAGAGCGTTGTTGTAGTGAGAAATGATTAGGATAAAAGATAAAAGATAAAAAAGAATTGTTTGAAATATTAAATGCAGTTGTGTATGGAATTTGAAGAGTTAAACATAAGATTATTATGAAGTTAAAATAATCCAACATGATTAAGTAGGTTTTAAAAAATGTTGATTAGATAAGGAAAAGAAATAAGTGGTTGAATGGTGTAATAATTAGTGATTTATAATGGTAAAAGAAATAGGAATTACGATGGAGGTGCAAAGATATGTGCACGGACTTAAAATGTCAAATGTAGAAGTTAGATGGAGGATTAGTAAACGAGAGAGGGATTGTTGGTAAGTACTTTTGAAAACTAGGTAAGTGGGTTGGATACGGTCGGCCATAATTTGAAGTTACAGAGTTGGGAGGGGCCATGTTAGGTGTCTCTTTAAGGTTGTAATGTAATCCTTGGGTTCATGCTCCTAAGTAGCACAGATGCATAATATATAATCATCATTATCATTATCTATCTCCATTGTGGTCCATAGATCCTTGACTATGAGTCCTTATGTGGACCACACTCTTTGTTACTTGCTTAATCAACCACTTATCATCGTTTCATTGTTTAAGGTAGAGGTCCAGCTTGTGATGTGTTTCTTTTTTTTAACTGGTTTAGCTAAAATGAAGCAACAAATTCAGTGTCTTTCTTGTTCCAGTTAAGCTACTCCTTCAAGTGCGTTCTGGACTTTAGCCTTTTTAAATCACTTACTACACAAACTTTCTCTTTCAACGTTCCTCTGAACATGCTCATCCTTCATAATAGTTTTTCTGTCACGTATTTATCTATCAATCACAACCCCTTCTTCTCCATATTTGGTGTCTTTGCCATGTCCAAAGTATTCAGCATAAACTTTTAAATATGTAAGACTTGTTTACACATTCAATTAATTGGTTACGTGATATGCTGCTACAATCAATGGTTAGTATTTGATTTCACTGAAGACAAATTTGTTAACTGGTTTTGGTTGGGATGATGTTTTGGTTTGAGCGACAGTGTTTTTTTGGAGGGACTTTTACTGAGGTGTGAAGGAGGAAAGGGGTGTTGGGTGAAAGAAGGAGGAAACAATTTGACACGGAACGGACACTAAAAGTTTGGCTTTCACAAATGTGGTGTTGGAGCAAAGAAAGCTGTATCCAACAAGTAACAAATTAAAGCAATGTCAAAGTGATTCCACTTAATTTCATTAGTATGTCACTATCGTTTAGTTTGCATGAACCGTGTTCCTTCATGTGATGATAATCTGGATTATGTTCCTCTTTCTCAATTTGGGTTATCCTTTTTCTTTTTCATTCCGTTTCCTAGAAGATTTGGTTTCCTTTCCATCATATTTTACTTTTTGGTTTAATATACACTTCATCTTCAATTCGGCATGACAAATGACATCTAGAGGGGATAAATAGATACACAAATTAAAATAGATGTAAAATTAAAAATTTATTTGTGAGTCAATAATTTATTAGAACACAGATAAAACAGAAGCGATAATATAATCAGGAAAAGAGAAAGAGATAAGGGAAAGAGAAGAGTCCACAAAGATTTATATTGGTTCGGGTATAGTCAACCCTACATCCAGTTCCCAATAAACTCTTAACACAAGAGTGACTCCCAATTCACTATCTTTCAAATTCAGTTTACAAATTATAATCAACTCAGCAGAAAAACCAGTAAAAAGTAAACTAATTAAAAAGACAATCACCTCCTTAGAAACCCACTAAGGATGAACACCTCCCTATAATCCCACTAGAGATGAACACCTCCTCTGAACAAATCAAAGGATGAAAAAATACCTCCTTAAAATTCCACTAAGGATGAACACCTTCCTAGAATCACACTAGGGATGAAAACCTCCTTTGAACAAATCAAAGGATGAAAACACCTCATTAGAATCTCACTAAGGATGAACACCTCTCTAGAATCACATAAGGATGAAAAACATCTCCTTTGCCACCAATACACAAAGGATGAAGGTAATAAAAATAAGAACAGTCATACATGAATAATGGAGACAACAAATTGTAGAAGCATGTAGAATGTCAATCTCCAAGAACAAGTGTGATTAGCAATGAGAGTACAGAAGGCAGTAGAGAAGAGAGTTTTATCAGAAGGTGTAAAATATCTTTGTTACCTTGCTCAAAATTCTTTTCTAAAAAGTGATTGAATGTAAATTGTATTTTCGAATTTTGTAATTGTGTGTTTTTTATTTTTCATCAAAACTTAATTAAATAAAAAAATAACATTAGAAAATGGTCGTTGGATATTAATATTTTCGTGAATAAAAATCATGATATATTAAAAAACATTTATTCTTCAAAATAGATATATTTTTCAAATTTGAATTGTCATAATTGATTATGTTACGAGTATAATCAATTATGACGAGAAAATCATTTTTCCATTTCGATGCATTATAATTGATTATGATAGTGAAAAATATCATGTTATGAATTTTATCACACTTGTACTTTGGAGGCTTATGCATAATATTACTTCATCAACTTGTACCTCCATATCCAATATTCTAAGACTCTATCTAATATTCAGGAATCATCTTGGACTTGCTTGAATCATCATCTTTATAAAAAATATATCTTGGACATGTAGGAAAATGTTTCACATTGTCGTCTTAAATTCAACTTGTCATTAATTCATCTTGAATGATGTTGACTTGAATGTAGTTGACTTGAATCACCATAAAAAAATATAGGGACATTTCCATCAATCTCTATTATTGAATTCATACAAAATAATAATATCTATTATATAATATATAATAATATAAAAATACCCGTAATTAAACAAAATTGATTTAATCTTTATTAAGATACCATGATAATTATTATTCTGACAATAATTATGTTCAATTAATTTCATTAAATTTTTTACTATTTTATTCATTTCTTGAATAGTTTTGTGATCTCAAACTTAAATCTCTCCCTTGTAAGTCTAGCTATTTTTAGGTTTATCTTGGCTTCTTTCTTAAATGTTTGTGATAGGTGAAAATCAATTATATATTAAACACTTCACTAACCTAATATCAATAGAAGAAAAATCAATAAGAGAAAAAAAAATCAATTAAGCACATATAAGGGTTAAGTCCCTATCCAAAATAAAGATAATTAGGCACACATACTCAAATGAGAAATATCAAAGAAAACATTAAAAATCAAGTGCATGCGTGCATATATTTTAACATCACGAATAGGATCTAATTCTACTAAAATATACCATTAAATACATATTAAACACTCAAAATACTCGATAAAAAAAACAGTAAAAGTAAAGATATACAAAAATATTTTGCACAGTTAAGAAAACAATGTTGATCTTAATTTTATCTGTATTTTATTTATAAAATAACCATTTGTTTTAATTAAATTTTCAATTAGAGTGAATATATATATATATATATATATATATATATATATATATATATATATAAGTTATTCCAAAATAAATTTCTAAGAATTGATTTTTCTCTTTTTTAGTCTAATAAATTTAATAATAATTTATATTTAACTATTAGGTTAAAGAAATAAAAGATAAAATTTTGAATTAATTTTAAAATAACTTAACTTTTCCATAAATCAAAATTACGTTATTGACAAATTTAAAATAAGAATTTATAAAAAAATATTTTCTGCAAATGTTATCATTCATAATTTAAATTTAATTTATAAAAAAATATTTTATTTTATTTATATTAAAAAAAAAAACTTGTCCAAATTTCTCCTTGGACTTATTTTAATTATCTCATACGAATGCTCGTGTTACTTGGTTAGTCTCAAATAAAAGGCAGAGGTTCAAAATTGAAGGCATTGTATAGACTCTGCGTTTTAATTTTATTTTGTTTTTAATTCTGGAATACTTATTTAAAAAAAAATATTTTTAAGATGCAGAGTAAAGACAAATTTTTTAGTATTTTCATGTTTTCTCTTTACACCCCGTATTTATTAAAAAAAACAATAAAACCTTTATTAATTTATAAAATTAATGATTCAAAAATATATTTTAAAATATTTTGGATTGAAAATTCTAAAATAAAATAAAATTGAATGAATAGATCATGAAATATATAATCTCTTTAAGGTCTGAATTATAAAATCTAGAATATAATTGTTTTATTTCAAAAAGATTAATTTAGAAAATTTCTAAAAATCTAAATATGAAAATGATTTTTCAGACATACGTTTGAAATTTTAGATTATTTTTTTAAGTTTTTAAAAATTAACTGTAAAAGATATTTGGGATTAAATTTTTAAAATTTTTATGAATAATTTTTAAAAGAGTAAATTCATAACTTATTTTATAATAAAGATAATATTATCCTTTTAAATTAATATGGGACGAATGAAATCCCCAAGCAGCAATAAAAAGCCCATAAATGTATAAATTGTGACCCACAAAGCTACGTTACTCTGAGTTTACTGTAGCGCAACGATTAACTCTTGAAGTAGAACCGAGATATCCGGGCCTGGTTCATATGCCACAGTGCTCGTTTTTCTTGCTAAGAATTTTACTTGAAATATTGTTATATTTTTCACCATTTAATTTTAATATTTATGTTTCCTTTACGAGCATTTGAATATATTAGTATCATAATAATTATCATAATATTAAAGTCAATTTTGATGTTTAAAACATTATGAACTTTAAAAATCTCATTCGTTACAACTTTATTTTTAAAAAACGTCTTAAATGTATAGAACTTCTTGTATGATATTTGTATAATAGAAGCTAACAATTTCTTATTTAAATAATTAAGTTTATACTCTATTAATTTTATTTTATTAACATACTCGTCATTACAAAGTTTTACCCACCATATCATTAGTTTTAATAAATAATAATTTCTCATAATTTTCATTTTAATTACTAAATTTTATTAATATATATATATATATATATATATAAATTTAAAAAGGAAAAAAATTGGTTGAATTATAATTTTGGTGAAAATGTAATCAAGTACATAATTTGGCTGAATAAAAGTTTTATAAAGAAAATATTAAAATAATTATATTCGATATGATATGGAAGGGAAACATAGCACCAAGAAAAAAGACGATTGGAGACCCAACATCGAACTATTTTTCACACATCGAACTAGAGGGTGAACTCATCTTAAATAGGTTTTAACAAATCTGTAATAAAATAATAAAAATCCTAACAACAAATATTTTTAATAGCCTCCCCTCAAGTTGGGTGATGAATATTCATCAACCCTAGCTTGGAAATGATAAATTTGAATTGAGTTTCGCGAAGAAATTTTGTGAAGACATCAATGAGTTAATCGCTGGTGTGAGCAGGTAAAAGATGTATTAGGTTAGATTGAATCTTTTCTCAAACCACATGATGTTAATGTTAATATGTTTCGTTCACTCGTGAAAACTAGGATTGTGAGCGATATGTCACTAGTGCAGAAAAGGGCTTTAACGTCACCCAATTGTCGTCGCATGTAAAAATATTCGACGTAAATAAAACGCGGTAGCAATTTTGTAAATAAGGGACAAAACTTTTACGTCGCACACCCCAGCACGCGACGTAAAAAGCCTCTTTTACGTCGCACCTGGGTGGCGCGACGTAAAAGAAGGTCTTTTATGTTGCGTGCTGGGGGGCGCGACGTAAAAAGTGATAGGTTTTTACGTCGTGCCTCCGAGCACGCGACGTAAAAGAGGGCTTTTTACGTCGTGTGCTGGGATGCACGACGTAAAAAGTCTCTTTTATTCCCTCCCTGACACACTCCCTCGTCTCGCGCAACCAGGGTTTTTGAGAACGACGATAACAACTACCTCTGCACACCATTTTCGATAAGTTTTACAGTGAAAAACATATACATTGTGTGTCATTTGACGAACTTGATATTTCTCCCCGATTGGATTCGAGTTTGAAATCATTTTTCGTCTACACTCGAGGTTAGTGTTCAATGTCATTGCTATATGTTTACATTGAATCTATGATTGTTTTTGGGGATCTCAATCACGTTATAGTATGAATTTCTCCACTGGATTGTTATTGGAATGTAATTATTTGTTTATTTGTTTGAGTGCATTCGGTTTACACACTCCATTGTTGTTGGAACGTGCTTTGTTGTTTGTATATTAATTTCTTTTTACATATAATTTTTAAATCTCTAGGAGTGACGAAAATTTATAACATAATATGAATCGAAGTTGGATGAATGCACGTCGTATTAGTGAAGAGTACGAAAAGGGAGTTGAGAAATTTTTGAAATTTGCTAGTGAAAATGGAAAAGCTATGAAAGGGACATATTATTGTCCATGTGTTCGTTGTTTGAATCAAATTCGTCATAAACTTGAGGATATACGTGATCACTTGTTTGTTTATGGTATTATTAAGAGTTATACAATATGAACATGACATGGAGAAATATTAGACATCCCAACTGTGTCAACTACAGACAATTTTGATGAAGGGATGAATGATAATCTAGAGGATATGATACGTGATATTGGTGAAGAAAATTTTATGAAAGCACATCTATATGATTCTTTGAAATCTGATTTTGCGCAACAATTGTACATAGGATGTAGTTTTACAAGATTATCAAGCAACTTTAAAATTGTTTACTTTAAAAGCAAGAAATGGATGAACTGATAAAAGTTTCACCGAATTATTGGAGTTGTTGAAGGAGATGCTTTCTCGAAGATAATACATTACCTATTCGTAACTATGAGGCAAAGAAGATATTATGTCCAATGGGTTTAGAGTACAAGAAAATACATGCATGTCCTAATGATTGTATATTGTACGTAAATGATTTTGCTAAATTAAAGATGTGTCCGACATGTGGTTTGTCGAGGTTCAAAAACAAAGTTGAGGAAAGTAGTGGTGAGGAAGAACTAGATGGTCCCCCTGCTAAGGTGTTATGGCATTTGCCAATTATACCTAGGTTTAAAAGATTATTTGCCATAAAAGAAGATGCAAGAAACTTGACATGGCATGCAAATGGTAGAAAATGTGACAATCTTCTTCGACATCCAGCTGATTCTCCACAATGGAAAAGGATTGATGAAACCTTTCCAGAATTTGGTGCAGAGCCAAGAAACTTGAGAATTGGATTAGCTACAGATGGGATGAATCCTTATGGAAATTTAAGTAGTAAACATAGTTCATGGCCAGTTATGTTGATCATTTACAATTTGCCTCCTTGGTTATGCATGAAGAGAAAATATATGATGTTATCTATGATGATTTCAGGGTCTCGACAACCAAGAAATGACATAGATGTATATCTTAGTCCTTTAATTGATGATTTGAAGATGTTGTGGGAAACAGGAGTGGATGTATTTGATTCATATCACGAAGTGAATTTTAGGTTGCGTGCAATGTTATTTTGTACTATAAATGATTTTCCAGCATATGGTAATTTGAGCGGTTATAGTGTGAAAGGTCATTTAGCGTGTCCTTTATGTCAAGAAGACACAAGTTATATCCAATTGAAACATGGACAAAAAAACTGCGTACAATAGGCATAGAAAGTTTCTAGTTGCTAATCATCCATATCATAAAATGAAGAAAGCATTTAATGGATGTCAGGAGAATGCAATTACATCAGTACCACGCAATGGTGAACAAGTATATGAGCAAGCGAAAAATATTAATATTGTGTTTGGAAAGACCCAAAAGAAATCCAATGAGAAAAACATTTGGAAGAAACAGTCTATATTCTTCAATCTTCCTTATTGGTGTAAGTTAGAAGTTAGACACTGTATAGATGTGATGCATGTTGAAAAAAATGTTTGTGATAGTATAATTGGGACATTGCTTAACATAAAAGGAAAGACAAAAGATGGAATAAAAGCAAGACAAGATTTGGCAGACATGGGTATACGTTCTGAATTACATCCACAATCAGTTGGAAAACGCACTTACTTACCTCCAGCTTGTCATACTCTATCGAAGAAAGAAAAGAGAAGCTTTTGTGAGTGTTTACATGAGGTCAAAGTGCCACAAGGATACTCCTCAAATGTTAAGAGTCTTGTGTCTATGCAAGAGTTGAAATTAGTTGGTTTAAAGTCTCATGATTGTCATGTGTTGATGCAACAACTTTTACCGAGTGGCGATTTGAAACATCTTACCAACTTCTGTTAGAATTGTTATTACTCAGCTTATGTTTGTTTTTCAACGCCATTTGTAAAAAGGTAATTGATCAAAAAAGTTAGATGAATTAGAAAATGAAGCAATTGTAATAGTGTGCCGCTTAGAAATGTATTTTCCCCTTCATTTTTTGATATCATGGTGCATTTGATAGTCCATTTGGTAAGGGAAATTCGATTATGTGGTCCAATTTTCTTAGATGGATGTATCCTGTTGAGAGATACATTAAGATCTTAAAAGGATATGTGAAGAATCGAGTACATGCCGAAGCTTCTATTGTGGAAAGGTACATTGCGAAGAAGCCATTGAGTTTTGTTTAGGATACATGTCAAAATCAGAACCAATAGGTATTCCTAAGATGAGACATGATGGAAGATGTGAAGGTAAGGGTACTCGAAATTTAAAGATTAAAAATGTTAGTCGGAAAGAAGTTGACCAAACACATTTATACATATTGAACAACACTGATGAAGTAATCCCTTACATATCACAACACATAACTGAAATAAAGGCAACACATCCACGAATGAATGAAAAATGGGTATTGAATGAACATAACAAAAGTTTCCTTTCTTGGTTTAAAAAAGGGTATATGTTGAGATTAATGCTTCGAAACACTTTTGAGACTTGCTCGTGGGCCTAATAGTGATGTCATTACATTTGGTGGGTATGACATTAATAACTATTGTTTCTACTAAAAAATAGAAGATGATAAAGGTAGAGTACAAAATAGTGGGGTCACAATTCAAGCTGAATCTATGCATTTTTCTAGTTCTAAAGACAAAAATCCTATCACAGCTTCTATGAGTTATTTTGGGGTCATACAAGAGATATGAGAAATTGATTATGTTACTTTTAGGGTGCCTGTCTTCAAGTGTAAATGGGTTGAAGGGAATACGAGTGTGCGAACAGATGACCTAGGATTTACTTTGGTTGATTTGAGTAAAGTTGGGTATAAGGATGAACCTTTTATTTTGGCATATCAAGCGAGACAAATATTTTATGTCAAGGATCCATGTAATGAGAGATGGTTAATTGTCCTTGAAGGAAGAAGCATGCACGGAATTCATGAAGATGAGTCTCTAGATATACATGAAACACCTTCATTTTCAAGTAGACCATTTGATGACATAGTTGACAATGAAGTTGATGACATACATGCAATTCGAAGTGATCATGATGAAGGGATATGGGAAAACATACCAACATAATAGGTGTTTATCTTCACATTTTCTAGTTCTTTTTATTCAAACTTATAAAGTATGTTGACTTCATATTGTTTTGTTTTTCAGGATATGTCGGATTCCACAGCTGGTACTGGTAGTGGTAGTGGCAGTGGCAGGAGCGGAAGTGGTGATAAAGGTAGGTCTGTCACTCGGTTAAAGG